ATTTTGATTTTGAATTGGTGGGTGGGTAGACAAGTAGCCACCACATCGCGTGCTAGGTCTATATAAGGAATTTGTAGGCGAGGCAAATCAACTATTGGTGGAGCACGCTGAGGGTTCATGTTAAGTCATTGTTCTCTCATTACAAGTAAGATGTTGAATTGGTCTCGAGCAACTCTTTCTCAAAAATCAGTGCAGTTAGAGCATGTCAAACGAGAACCAATTGTTAGCCTATATAATTAATCTGCTATGTCAGCCTGAAATAAATAAGACATTTTTTTGATAACACAATAAACAATTAAATAAGACATTTTTGTATAACACTTGTTGTATAAAAGAAAAAGATGGTATTGGTGGAAAAAAGGAGAAAAACTTACCACATAGCCAGATCCATCGTCTTGTATGTCTCCAATACCATTGCATATATTCAGATGTTCGATCAAATTCATCAAGCATAACAGGAGTGTGAACAATAATATGTGGCCATCTATCCTATGCTTGAATGAAGTTTGAGTATTGTTGAGTCCAATTGTTGTCCTACCACGTAGTTGTATTGTATGATAATTTTCCAAATGAACAGGTGGGACAGAAATTGGTTGTTAATGATCGAATTGCCTTAATACATGGTTAGGGTGATGCCATTCTATAATATGAAAACATATTAGAGGAACCGAAACAAGTCAAATTTCGGGTGTTGCCAAGCAATACTCTAGAATTAATTGGTGCACTTCAGGGGATTCATATGGCCACCAAATTATCTCGTCATCAGTCATTCTATCAAGAAAACTCCTATATGGGAGTAAAGTGATGGCAATTGGATGAGGACTTTGTCTAACATTTTTCCACCTATTATGATCACAAAAAATAATGTTAAAATTTTGTATAATTTTAATAATAAGTGTATATCAAATATTTGTTGGATGAATTTAGCATACCTAAAACCCAAGAAAGGTAAGACAGGGTACATATTAGAATGTGGATTTGGAGATACAGGTCGTTGCGGTGCTAGTATTAGGAAGCGATCCCATGCCCATAAATGTAGTAATGATAAACATCCTCCAATTCCATCCTCAATTGGATTAGTAGCATTACATAATTCTCTATACAAGTGAGCCCAAACTATTGATTCCCAACTAAAATTTCTAACTTCTTCAAGATTATAAAGTAGTGGAAGGTACATTAAATATACTCTGGTACCCGATTTATCTGGCATGAGATCTTCGCCAATCAACCTAAGGATGTATGCACGAGTAAATTGTTGAATTTGTATATCATTTGCATCATCAGGTAGGTGATTAAAGTACTCTTCCAACCAGCTGATAAGTAGTCACTGCCCCTTCATTCTATTTCCCGGTGGTTTAATATCTAGAAGCAATTTACAAACATCTAGCCAATTAAAGTTAGTTCTCCCAATGACAAGAAGTCCCATACATGGAAGGTCTAATTGCATAGCTACATTCTCTAACTCTATAGTGCACTCTCCATGTGTAGTGTGAAAGGTGTGAGTCTCAGGACACCACCTCTCAATAAGTATTGAGACTAAACTTCGATCATAATCGAATTGTCCCATTCGAGCAATGCCATAGAATTCGGCTAATCTAAGAGATTCGATTATGTGGCTGGGCGGCTCAATCATTTGATTAGTGTGCATGACTCGTCTAGTGTGTAGGATTCTAGAAACCTACAATGAAAAGGTAAAAAAGCCAGTATCAAAGCCTATAATTTATAATATATAGTCAATAGATGTTACTTACATTATCATTCCACACTTGTGAAATATGTCGAGGTTGCAAGTATAGAAGAGAGTTATCCTCTGGACCTAGGTTGATGATCTCTTTTGAAGATTGGGCCATTTTCAAATATGTCTACATAAGTTGAAGAAAAAATATCCAAACAATATAAAAATAAAGAAACTAATTGCAATTTCATCTTATTTATGAATCATAATATTTTTTTTAAAAAAAAGTGAAATACATAATTATTGTCATTGTCTATATGCTAATCTTTGTAGACAAGTAGAGCGATTATAACCAATTCGTCTACATAATCTTCATCGGGTGTGGTCCAATCCATATCATGTGATTGCTAAACATGGATCCTTGCTCGACAATGTTCAACTCATTGTAACTTGATGGTAGAGTATTTCTATTATAATTATCCATTGGTTGTGGCTCAACATGACCATGATCTTCTACATCACATATGTTGGCATACAACTCTACACATGTCAATTGACTTAAAAATCTTTCAGTCACTTGCCACATTTGTTTTATATCTGAATTATCTTCCAAATTGCATGCTTGATATTGTGGTGAATTTATGCGTGTAGAATATCTATATACCAGATTTGTTACAATTTGATTGGAAGGAAGTCGTAGCTTTCATCCAACAACTTTCCTTCAATCTATCCAAGGTAATATTTGGGTCGATTTTGATTACTTTCACTCTACTAGATTCAAATATAACACCGATTGGGTCATTTAAAATTTGTCCATTTGCAAACACACACACGAACTCCTTCCTATGATCCATTTTACTCCCTGAATATGACATTATAATTATTAATCAATCAAAATTAAATTGTGAAAATAAATTAACTCCACAATCCCTTTTTTTTTTCAAAAAAAAAAATCGTATCATAGAAATACGCAAAATGGTCTCACCACAATGTTAGTATCATAGAAAAAAGATTCCTAATTAAATTTAATTATTTAGCCAGATACTCCCTACAATAAATATATTTCATTTTTCAACCTATGTTCTATTATTTATAAGATAATAAAATAATTATAAAAAATAATACAAATATATAATTTTTAAAATTGATCTTTTGAAAATATCTTCACACACCTATATTCTAAATATTATACCATATATATTCTAAAATCTTAATCTATACCTATTTTCTAAATATTATACTATATATATAGACATAAGCTACATATACTACTACATATCAATTTATTTTTATTAATAAAACACTTAACAATGCAAGAAATTACATGTATAATATATTAAATATCTTAAAATTAATGATATAATAACAAAAAAAAAATACTGAACAAAGTTGTCAAGTCCACATAAATATCAGGTAAAAAAAAAACAACATAATTGAATACATTTAAAGCCTTTCAAGAAGAAAATGAAACATGTGTTCTTTTGTTAAAAAATCAATATTTAATATTTTTAGCTAAAGAAATTTAACTAATATAAATTAGTATTATTTTTTAAAATACATAAAGTCTGAGGGAATATTTATTTCTTTTTAATAACTATTACATATTTAATATTATTGTCTCTTTGGATTTCAACATAGTCAAAACATAAATAAAATGTAATTTTAATATTATGATTTTTTTATTTAATGAATTTTTAATTTGGGAATTTGCTCTAAAAGAATTGAGTCTTAAAAGATTTATATTTTAGTTACTTTTTTCTTCCAAATCATTTATACCCGTCCACTTTTAATCTTTTATTAAGAAAACCAAATATTAACTACGTAGTTAGCCAAAAAAAATTACGTCTGCAACATTTAAATTTTCATACTTTCATCCATGATGTTAATGGATATATATAAATATATTTCCTGGTTAAAAGTATGCCCTCTCTGCATTTTCATAAAGATTATTGCGGATCCATTGAACACATTAGAGTTAGTTTCTTTTTAGGTTGTTATATCTCCTGTGAATACAATTACGTAATATAATATGCTTACCTAGTACTACTCTATTATTTATTATAAGAAAATTACCAACATGTCTTCATCTTTAATAACAAACTCAACGTGTCAAAAAATTCATGACTAAATATACTAATTTTGCTGTAAAAATTAAAAAAGAAATTAAGTAAGAGCATGCACCTTAATCAGATTAATAATCAACCTTCAAGCTGGAATAAAATGCAGTACATCACAATATAATACACACCTCCAATACCTAACTGGAAGAGGAAGGAAACAACTAAGAAAGAAGAAGAAATGACCAATAGTTATGGAAGAGGAAGAATGGACTGAGGAAGAGGAAGGAATGGACTGAGGAAAGAAAGCAGTCATAGGAAAAAATATTAGAGCATTCAACAATTATATAGACCACGCAACAATTATATGAACTATGCACTTATTACTCCCATAGACCCTTTTTCTTCTTCTATTACTTCAAGTTTCAGCTTTATATTATGCCTTCACGAGCTGAGAGAACCGAACGGATAACGCACGGCAAATCTTACAGATTGATTTGACCAATCTACAATACAAGTGATGGAAATATCACGGGACGGCACGCTGGAGCACTTTTTGAATGAGGACAAAACTAAAGTCGTTCACGTGGTGAATGACTTCCAATTTTTGTAATTAAAAAATATGTCACATCTCCAAAGTTGTTCTTGGCATAAATAGCTTCTTAAGAAATTTAAAGTCGTTCTCACCTTGAACGAGTTCCAATGATGTATTTCAAGAAATATCTCCCATTGTGTCGCATTTTGGTTATATCTTGTACTGTTTATAGTATCCGGACAAGAAAGCCGTTTTATCTGGGATCCAATTCACAATCTCTTATTTGTAAGAAAGTTTTCATACCACTATGTAATTAACTAATTATGACAAGCCCTTTAGGGGGAAAAAAAAAAAACATAACAAGCACGTAATGAAGGATGAAAACATAATCTCCCAGCTCAACACATAAACAGCGCCATGATCAAATCATTTTCTATTTTGCATATTGATGATGTTGTACTAATTTCCTACTACATCATGAGAAAATTACAACAAAAAGATCTCCGAACCTCACTATCTTCTAAGTCTTTTTTTTTTTTGGGGGAAAAAAAGCTCAAAATGATGTCTTACCTAAAGGAGAAAAAGTATTACAGACTTTAGGCTTGGTTTTAATACCATGTAAAAAAGTTGACATTGTTCTTTTACTCCAAAAAAAGAAAAAAGTTAACATTGTTGAAGTGGACAAAGGATAGAACGATCAACGAACGTCGTTTTACAGTTCCCCGCCCGTTCTATTGCTTCTCTTTGGAGCTGAATCGTGGGCGTTCCGCCTGGCTATTGGCAGCCTAGGGTTTTGCTGTAGCAGAGACAAGCATGACATCATTTGGATCTCTCAAATCAGCAATTTTTGAGAGAGAAGAGAGAAAACAGTGCGTTTGTTGGCTTTGATTGCCCCAATTTTCTGTGTTACTGCACTCGTTTTGTTGCTTAATTAGTAATTCCATTTGAATGTTATTGTAGGCAATACCAGGCACATATTCGAGGGCTTAATGCTTATGATCGGCATAAGAAGTTCCTGAATGATTACGGTATGATAATATATTAAACCTATAGTTTCATTTGTAAGGCATTTGGGAATTGACCCTTTTTACAAGCTCGAAGCTTTAATCTGTTTTTTCTATTTAATTTCTCGTACTTGGTTTGTTCAAGAATTCTTAAATGAGTGACGTGATAACTGTGATTTGTAAGTGCTAAAATGTTTGATTTTTTAGTAGTTTTGGGTATCTTAGAAAGGAACGGGTAATCGTCCAACTTGATTTTCGGGGCCATTACAATGGACGCATTGTCATGAAAGCTAAAAGTATTTGTTCACCATTTGCGTTTTCCTCGGTCATTATCTATTATTAAACTCCTGACATTTGATCAGCTGTCAGTTGGACTGGGAATGGACACTATGGGAATTAAGCAAGTTTGGAGTACTTGATTTGTTGGGTCCTTAATGTCCTAAAGCAAGTGGATGATGAACAGTCTCCTCCATTTAGAAGGAAGGAGGCTACAATCATCCTCACATCTCCCTTTTATCGTAACCAGAGCTGTAGATTTATTTTTTCCTTCGCTGAGACCTACTACCATCTTATAAAACAATAGGTTCCAGGGGTTTGGTACTTCTTTTCTTGTGAAATGTTTCTTATGTTTTTTATGTCTTTTGCTGATTGCTGATTGATCATAATATGTCCGGTTTTTCTATGTGGAAGCTTTAATTGGTTTTCCACAGCCTGGGTATGGCTATATTATGTTTTCATAAGTCTTCTAAGAATCCTCTATTGGTGTCACAGTTAGCTTCTATGGGAAAGAAAAACCTTCCAATTTACGTTTGCCTATTAAAACAGATAAAGACACACTAAGAGAAGGATATAGGTAAGTTCATTCTTGTTTTTAGTTGCTATTTGTTTGTGATATTGCTGAAGGCGTAAGGCCTGAAGCTTATCTCAATATCTACTCATCATTTTCCCAGTATGTGGATTGCCTGAATTTATGATGCTTTTAATTTAAATGCAATGCAAGATTCATACGCTCTGAAGAAGATGATATGGATCCTTCCTGGGAACAAAGGCTGGTGAAACGTTACTATGACAAGCTTTTCAAAGAGTATCCTTTACAACTTGACCCAAGTTTTACTGAACCTATTGATTATTGATATTGAGAGAGAACTGGATGATTTTTATTTGTCTCAAAATTTTAAAAAAAAATTCGGTAATGCTTGATCTTGATGTAATCTTAGGATTTGACTCTCATTTGGTTAACCAAGTTGGCGGAAGAAATTTGCATCATGCCCAATTCAAAGATAATGCTGCTCAAATTTAGAGAACTCAATAGCAGTTTATGCCTGCCTGTCAACTCATACTTCTGCTTGCCACCAGGAATATTCTTTAGGCAAAATGTTTTACTAAAAAGGGCTAATTGAAACTGTGAAGACTGACTGACATCGCTGTTGATGTTAGCATGCCATTTGAGGAGTATGAGCGTGTTCTTGCGATATTGCTTCATCTAAACTCCATATGCTTCTCTTTGACACTAGTTTTCCTTCTCCCTTTGAATTTAATTTCAGTTATTGTCAAAATAAACAATTAATCTCTGAGCTAACGCCAAGCATGGCTAGCTTGAGACCCTTATTATATCTTTCTTGCTAAAATCTAAATTCATTTTTCTTTTGGCCACTAAAATCTTCATCCATTGATCAATGCAAATTCAGCCTACTCAATCCTAAGGGCCCCCCTATTTTCCTCTCTATTTGATCTCAGTTCCATCATTATTTGGACCGATTGATTTAGAGTTTTACTATGCGCATATCATGCTATATAAGTTTCTGAATAAGGTTTTGGAAATATTTAGTGAATAATTTTTGCACTTTGACTGTCTTTGATGTTCATAGCTCTGCCGCTGTAAAATTATGTGTTGCTTGTTATTTCTTTTTTCCTAAAATGTTCTAGTTTTTGTGATGTCAAATCCTCTGGTTTGCTTGTTGCCTTAATTGAATATTCTAAAGATATTGCATTGCTGATATGTCTCATTACAAGAGTGGCAAGGTGATTTACTTAATGCCTATGGAACTTATTCCTGCTGTGTTTCAAAATGCTGCCGTCCTTTTGTTGTTTCTTCTTTTATATCATTTTGTTTGGTAAGTCCCTGATCCAAGGGGTTTAGTCTTTGCATTTGCAATCTGATTCCCTACTTTTGATCTCAAAGGGTGTCTTAAAACATATAGAGGTTTCGACTTTGGACTATTCTTGAACTCATTGTGTGCTTCAGGTTTAGGGTAATTGATACATATTGACAATATTATTTGGTTTTTTAGTTTTATAAACGACATATCTTTCTGGACAGAGAGAAGTCATTTTTCATATGCGTTAATACATTTTAGGTAATATTAATATATAAAACATTTGAAATCCTTTGAGACCGGAGATTCTGGTGTAATCCCAGTTTCTTGGTAGAGGCTCTCCACTTTTGTGTCATAAAAGCTTTCACAGTTCTAGGGCATTTTAAATGTCATATATTAATAATGGCATATTCTTGTAGATTGGCCTCAGGTGGAGGACAGAGAAGGAAGTGATATCTGGCAAGGGTAATGACATCTTGCTGGCTACTGAGCGATCATTTTTCACCCTCTAGGTCTATCTTGTGCATTTTAGCTTGTGTGACTTTTGTGCATTTCTTTATTTGCAAAGAAACTTCTCTATTTAAGTTCATGTTCAATTTATCAATACTTTTCTATCAAAATCGTTTGTGTCCAAATGCATTGTTACTGGTCCTTTTATTAGAAAACTGATTATTATAATTCATTGCTGATATTATTATTATTATTATTATTATTATTATTATTATAAACCTCAAACAAATATATTGGTGTGATAAAATTATGTTTTATCTACTATATCAGTCATTGTTTTTGTCAGCGGAACAAGTTGACTTGTTTCCGAGCTTGCTTCACTAAAGACATTATATGCTTGCTTATTCAGGAGATCATGCTTGTACAAAGTACTTTGTTTACAGATTTACTTGTCTATTTCATTCATGCTGTTATGGAAATAGTTGTCTCAGGTTTTATTTAGTTTTAAAAATGGCTAGGCTCTTGTTAAATTTTAGAATTAATTGGCTACACAACTTTGCAGGCCAGTTCATATGTGGGAACAAACATTGTGATGAGAAAGATGGCTTAGCAAGCTATGAGGCAAGTTTTTCTTATCATTCATTAATCTATTCCACTAGCCTGCTGTGTGCCTGTGCTTGGGGTCCAGATGTGTTAGTTTGATTTTAAATGGGCATATACTATAAAACTCCTCTATGAGAGAGCGAGACAGAAGGAGTATTGATTTAATGGTGGAGAAAGAGCTTGACAGATGAAAAGGCGAAGAAAAAACTCTGGTGAAGGAACGAGTTGATCTATTAAAAAGGTCTTCATATTTTAGAATGGGCTTACTTAAAAAGAAAAAAAAAAGCCTTAATTTGAAGATGCTTAAGTCTTTTTTATTCCTAGTCTTTTCATATGATATCATCTTGTCTTTCAATTTCTTGTTTCACGAATGGGTTATGTCCTGTCCTGCCAAAATCTTTTGCCTGAGAATGGAGTCATTGTGGTTTGCCTCGTCTTATTTGATGTTTCCATTTCTTTGCATTCATCACAGGTGAACTTTTGTTACTTTGAAGCTGGGGAAAACAAACAAGCCCTTGTCAAGTTGGTAACCTGTGAGAGGTGAGTCATTATATGCTGTTGCTAGCTTTGTCACTTGTATTATAACTATATTCATGAAATTTTTTTGTTAAATCGATGGATCATGGACAGGAGGTTTCTAGCTTTTGCAGTGAAAGTTTGCATAGCCCACTTCTCTGAAAGAAGAATTTCCAGTGGGATTTTTTTGGGGGGGGGGGGACTTTGCCGCAAACATTTATAGGAAATACATGTCACAACAAAAGGTGTCCATTGCAAGCAATCCATGAATATACATCCTCAAAGTCCATGTTAGAGTTGCTGTAGAATTTCATAGTCTGAAGAGCATCACTTTCTTAGAATCAGTTTTACATTTTGAAATTTTAAATATAAGTGTTGCAACTGAAGCTCTTCTAGTTTGGCCGTTGTTATGAAAATTATTTTGTGTCACATAACAAAAATTGATGCTTGAAAGTTTAAAGTGTGGAGAAAGAAAGTGAGAATTCTTGAATGAAATGTAGTAGTCTTTGAATTCTGACCTGCATGAGATTTTTTACGGGAGAAGATTACGAGATAAGTCATTAAATACTCATATGATCAAAGGATAAAATTCTACTAATGACACAATTTTAACCTATCAGATATGGAATAAAACACATTAATACACACTCGCTATTTAGTCGGCATACTTGCATTGTAAGAGGATGATTTTGATGCTTTCCTATTCTGTTAAAAGATTTTGATACTTCTTAAGATATAAGTTCTGGTATTCCTGTAATTGATCTTCAAAATCAGCTTCAAGATTGTGCTGGCCTGCGAAACACTTATAGTCAGGAAGTTACCCCAGAGATCTTGAACAGAATATTAGTGATGCACTATGTTCTTGGGCAAAACGACTTATTTCCTTAATTTTCGTTTTATTGGTGCTAAAGATGTGCTGAGAAGCTTCATTACAAGAGGAGGAAAGAGAAAGAAAAATTAGAAAAAAGAGAACAGGAAGGCAGCCGAAAGAGGTAAGAATTTTGTTGCCATCTCGGTTCTTATTTTCCCACTTATAGTTGACAAAAAGATAGGAGATTGAGTCCTTTGATTTGTAGGAATCGATCAAAGAGTGATGATGACTCGGAAGAGCTCAATGAAAGCAAAGAGAGGAGGAGAAAAGGTTTGATGTTGCCTCGTTTTAGAAGAACATCATAGTTTTACACCAAGACAATTTGCTTCCGACCTTGTATTTCAGTAGTTGCTCTATATTGTGTGGTTTGCAGAACTACTTAGCAATTCATTTTTCATGAAAACACAAACTTACAGCAGATAAAATATGCATAGAAGGGTTTGTTACTCATGCATTCTGTAAAGATGCATTTCATGTTTTTTGGCTGGAAGGTCTGACTGGGATTAATGAATACAGGGTATTTTCATAAAAAATAAAAATGATTGTCTTTGTTGACTGAAGCCTGTGAAAGGATCATTCTGAATATGATATTCTGGTCATTGACACTTTATGCTGTTGTTATATGAACCTGAGGCCCATTTGGTGGGAGGTCATTCTAAACATCCGTGTGTGTGTGTGTGTGTGGCTTCATCTTGAATGTGTCTGTCTTTTTTGATGAGGGATTTGAGTTCATGTTATCATTAGTTTTGTTGGTTGCTTCAGATGTACATCTGCTGAGCTGTTTCTTAGCATGGAAGTAATAAGTAGAAGCACCAAGTTTCTCAGGAACTGGTGATTAAGTTGACAGATATCTTAATTTGCCTGGCTTTTGTGAGTTAGTACGGATATATGTTCCTTGATTTAGTTTGAACTGTGGATATTCTTGTCCTGGTTTTTCACGTGATCGTAACTGTAGACTGGGCTTTGCCTAAGTGTCAACTTGATTATTAACTGAATGTGTTGAAATCTTTTTTTTTTAAAAAAAACTTTAAGATGTTTGGAAATCCTTTCTCCTTGCACCTAATCCTTCAGCTGAGTATTTCTTACATATTAACAGGGAAAAGGGCTTCAACTTCTGCAAGTGATCATAAAATTGACGACGACGATAACTTTGATGAATTTCTTGAGGGAATGTTTCCGTGACCTCAGCAGATTGATCGTGGCCCTAGAGGCAAAAAGTATGTCCTCTAGGTCAAAGTTGGACGAGAAACAAAATTTTGGGTTCTGTTAGGGGGACAGGAGAGTGGCCCTGTAGGTGGATGTCTCAAGTGCAGAGTTGAGAAGATCACAAATGCTTTTTGAGGAAACTATTGCCTCTTAACTCTATGTAGTAACATAGAACGTTGTGGTCATACTATAATTACCTCTTAACTCTATGTAGTAACATAGGACGTTGTGGTCATACTATAATTCCTTTTGGGTCGCAGGTCGTACTAAAATGTTTGTACAGCATGAATAATGCGATTTCTTTTGCCAGATCAATGTAATTTACACATTACAAGCTTCATTGCCTTTTACTGTTCCCAAGTCTTCCACCACGGTGGATCTTCTAGAGTTAGGAAAACGGATCTTTCAAGTCTAGAGGTATGTAAAATGTGTTTGAAGTAAGAGAAACAAAGATAAGAGAGCGGGTAAGGGTTAGAGAAAATGAATTTTATGCACATTTCCCGTGTAATTACACCTACTTAATCCTATTAATCTTTTCACTAAAAATGGCAGTTTACTCACCAAACTCTTATTGTTTTACACAATTCACATTTCATCTCGTCAATAAACATTGATGGTCATTTTTTAAGATGAGCATGAAACCTGCATTCCTTTGGTAGGTTCCATTTCAAGTTGAAAAAATTAGTCAAAAGTAATTGTTCAAAAATTTTGGGCCTATTTAGGATAGTGATGAAAAATACTTATAAGCACGTTTTACAGATTGAAAAGTTATTTTATTTATGAAAGGGACATGGATTTGAGCAAGGTTAACTTATTTTTATGGGTATAATCCTTTATTTGTATACAACAGATCTTGAGCTACGAATAAATGATTTTTATTTTGAAGACTTCTACACATTATTAAATATATGTTGCATATAGTTGATAGTTGAAGAGGAGTTGCACCAGATTCTTTTAACCAGCAAACTTCTCAAATAGTAACTTTTATTGGATGTCCCTTTGCCAAACCGTTGCTTGCCTTTCTTCACATGTATGGACACCTAGACTGAAACCAGTAATATGCATCTTCTGATGAAAAGGAGCTCAAAACTCTCATTTGTTCCATACTCATTGAAACAGAAAAGGTCAGGACTTTTTTCTTCATCATCATCATCATCTCAGGGGCATTAATGAACTTCCAAAGTCAATAATTAGAATCTGTTGCGACAGAATAGAGTAAAAGCAGGCGAAGTATTATCAAGGTGGGACACATTGACCAAAACTTGACGCAAAAAATGAAATCACTAACCACAAAAAATGAATAAACAAATATAAAAGACCAGAACTTGAAAAACCATCCTTGAAAAGTGAAACTTAAACTTATAAATATTTTACTTGTGTTTCATCCTTTAGACGTAAGACTTGGGAAAAAGTACAAGAAGAGCAAGGTTCTTTTTTTCTTGCTTCCATTTGGAAAAGCAACTCATCAACTTAAAAGGGTCACTGTCCCTTCCCTAAATTCTTGTTCAGAAGGAAATGTAAGTGAGTAGGGTCCTCCATGGCTTAGATATTAAGTTCTCATAAGAACCATCACTTTCTCTGAACTGAGCCTTCAAAACCAAGAAAGTGCTCTTTGTGGTAGACTCACTCTGCAAGCATACATTCCCTTTTTGGGTATCAAATATAAAAGCAAACTGATGCATCTACACTAAATTATATAATGCTTCAGTGCCTCAATCATGTCACATCATGCCGTAAACTACTAATTATTGAATATTAAATTCCTCTGAGATGTAGCCTTGTATTATATTCTATGGACATATAATTTGGTGATTCCATTCCAGTTGGATCCACATTAGAGTGAAACTCCTGTCTTAACTTTAAAAGAATGGTTACAAATAAGTTTAACACTGCATCTTAATCTAAAATCAAATGCATTAAGTCAATGGATCATTTTGATTATATTCATTTTTTTTATTTGACATGTTAAAATAATTAAATCATAATTTTAGTAAAAGTAAGTGTTTAATGTCAAACCAAATATACTTAATATATAGCTAACTTTTAACTCCCAGAGAAAATTAATCTTTTGCTTCTCATAATTTTGATTCAATTATAATTTAGTACTCTAAATTGTAACTTAGTACAGTTCAGTTTTTATAGTTTTGATTTATTGTAACTTGATTTTTGAAAATTTAGTACAACTCAGTTTCTAAAATTTTAGACATTTAAAACTTTTGCTCCTTAGGTTCATGAAATATATCATTTTATTTTTTAAAAACATAGGGACTAAGTTTTAAATGGTTAAGAGCATAAGAATTGAATTACAGCGAATCAAGGTTTAGAAACTAAATTACAATTGAGTCAAAATTATAAAACCTAGGTTATACCAAATTAAAATTTAAGAATTAAGTTCATATCTTTCAACTTACAAAGCTCTCTTGTAAATAAGAGGTTTTGAGTTTAATCACATCTGTAACTTCGTATCATTGGTATTCTCCCTTTTCACTAAAAACACACTTATGTCCCGGTCAAAAAAAAGGAAAAACAAACTTATGAAACAAGAGCAAGGACAGGTACAACAACAAACTAGTCTAGAAGACAAGTGTGAAGGTAGAATCACAGAATCAAACATGCGTACATATGTATTTAAATGTGGGAAAAAGGGTACTTTTAGTAAGGTACAATGTATAGGGACCAAAAGAACTTTATGGTACAGTTGTGCATGTGTGTGGTTCAGCTCTTTGCCACCTCACCAGCTTCGTTCCTTGCCACGTGTTACGTTGCAGCTTACTCACCACTCACCATCACTTTCGGGTCCCCCTCACCCCACACGTGCCTCCCCAACGTGTCTTCCACTTGGTAAAACACTAATAATGCCTCTTTCGCTTTAAGCAAGAGGAGAGTTAAATATTATGTAATTTATGCAATTTTCTTGATATATTACTTTCAGTTTTTAATATAAAAATTAGTTATAATTTGAATATATTAAAAAAATTAGTTAAATTAGTTATTTGTAATAAATAAGTATTATCTTTTCTAAAATATTTAAGTTAGTTATTTGTCATAAATATGTATTGTCTTTTTTAAAATATCGTTACTAATCAAATTATTGGTTAGATCTATCATTATTACAAGGACTATCTTGAAAAATATATATATAATACAAAATGGATTGATATATTATATTTAGGATGAAAATAAAAATAAAACGAGTTCTTATATTAAGGACATGAGGTAGTAATATCAAATAAATGAAATAATTGGGGAGAAAATATCCTGTTAAAGATTTTATTGGTAAGGAAAAACTGATAAAAATTTTATACACAGAAAATGTTAGTACTCTACAAATTTTATACACAGAATATTGATACTCTAATTTATGTCTTTCTCGCTAATAGAATTTTTTATAAGAGACTTTTTTTTTAAAACCATTTTCCTAAAATAAATTAACACCTTTATCATTGATTATCCTTAAATAGGAGAATGCCAATGTCATATTGTTTTAGTGGCAACAGCAACTCCCAACTTAGAGGGAGGTCCAAAATCCTAATTCTATATATGGTATTGGGCAGGTGTGATCTTCTCTATAAGAAAAGAGATGGGTAGGTAAGTGTCTTGAAAAAAATTAAATCATACTACAATATCAATTTTAATTTTCTTTACTAAAACCTTCTTTAGGTTGAATGGTAAACATTTCTATTAATAAATTTATATTCTTTCAGTCATAAATACTTATCTTTATACCAGTGAGTATGAGTATAATAGTCTTATATTTAGGACTGGAGGAATATTATGTAAAATGGGAAGCGTAGTTAATATTAACATTGAAATAATTAGTTTTTGTGATAAACAAAAATACTAAATAAAGATGTGTACAAAAAAAATATGAGTACTGTTTTTTTTTGCCAAAAAATATTTCAGTACTGTTTTTTAGATATATGCAAAGCATAATACACAAAACCATTATGTTATTATTATTTTTTGTAATTGAATACAACTTATAAAGATTAATCACTGTAAAAATATTCATATTACTGAATAGCGTTAGCATAATCTTATTTTTTCTTCAGTTCTTGTTAAAATAAATTTCCAACGAATTTGTAAATCAATAATAATATATTAGTTAAAAAATTATTTATTTTAGAAAGAAAATAAATAATACTGGTTCAGGTTCAACAATTTCAATTTTCATGGAGATAAATTCATTCGTCGCCCCAAAAACGTCGTTTTACTGCTTGCGTGGGAAAAACGACAAACCCAAAAAGGCGGGTAAGCTAAGCCGTCTGCAAACGGCTGTTAAGTTGGTGGAGCGTTGACAAACAATGATGGCTTCTTCGCGGACCGACAACGTGGCATCTGGCTGGGTCCTCCTTGTGGGGACCACGCATGTCGTTCATGATTGAGACACGTTGGATACGACGAGACAGGTGTCAGCATGCAGGGAAAACCTTTTAATGATCCAACTTCCAATGTCTAATACTCCTCCGATCTTTAATATAAAATTCATTTAACTAATTTAATTATATTAAGGAAGTTAGGTAAGTTAGTTAATTATAGAAAAAGTGACATATTTTTCCTAAAACACCATAATCATCTTTCTTAATATCTCATCTCCCTCTTTTACTTGATTATGGTTGAGGGAGTATCCATAGGGGTAATTTAGAGAAAATTGATAAATATGAGAAATGAGTCTTATATTTAGGACCAAAACCAACTCAAGAATTGGATCCTATATTAAGGACCGGAGGAGTAATAATATTAAAAATTAACAACTCTTTTTTCATTTTTCTTTAGCAATTTATTATATTATGGAGATTAATTCTTTCTACTAAATTTAACTTCCATTGATAAAAGTTAACAACTCTATAAGACTATATCTTAAAAAATGATTAATGTCATCTTTAATCCTAAAATTTTAAGCATTATGGTTTTAAATTTTATTTTAAGAACCAAACCCTTAATTTTAACAAAGCGAGATTAAATTTGATGAACTATTAGCTTTTAAAAAAATTATATAAAAATTAAAACTTGTCATATCAATCATACTATAAAAAATAAGGTCTAAGTTAGGTTAGCTCATTAATGAGATAGACTAT